AGGTTGATAAAGTTGTTTAAATACAACTTATTTATCGTTATTAAAAGGTATTTTAGTTACTTATTTGATTAAATAATTATTTCTTTATAAATAAATATTGTGATATATAATAATTGATCATTAATTGTGCACTTGGATGGATCCCTTTCTGAGGTTGTTTAGATGGGTCTTTCCAATTTAATGTGTTGGGGTCTAAAGGTGTAGTTCACCTGGTGTGGACCCATTTGGAAAATACTTGAAAACCATTTGAAAATCAGTAATAATTATGGGGTCAACTTAAAGTGAATCGTTCTGGGTTTAGTTTTGTTGGGTGTTTTTAACTGTCGGTTTTGTAATAATGGAAAGTTTAGTCCACTTGGGATGTTATGAATTTAGTTGGTTAAAGATCAGACATAATTTTTTTACAAAATGATTGTCTTTTGAACTGTTGTTTTTTGTAAAGCTGTTATAATTTACAATATCTAATCATTCACAAATAAATGGTGGATTCATAGAATCTAGGTGTATATGACCCATTCACAAATCGTCGGTTTATTTCATTGCACGACTTGTTTGATTAAGATTGAAAGCGAAGGAATATGGGCTCTGACATTGATTTCAATAACTATTTAATGTTGGGCAGATAATAATAATAATACAAACAACTTAGAGGTCATTGCAGATAATGTAGTACTCGGCATATTTCAACCATTCTCGTTGGCAATTTTATGGTTCATGGTGGCATAATTGTTTGTTTGTTGATATTTAGTGTGTTGTAGTTTAAGCACCACAATTAGGAATGTTAGCAATTCGAGCATTTACTGAGCTACTCGAATTCGAGCTTGAGTCAGTCTCAAACGAAAAATAAAGTTCGTTCAACTTAATGAATCGAACTTCATAACACCAATTTCCTTGTGGTTGTTACATGCACCACAGATCTCCCATCCGCACACACTGTTTTGGTTTATTTTTATTTTGGGTTTGTTTTGTTTTACCGGAGAAGATGACCAGAGGAAGAGGTTTTTTTTAGTTTGATTAGGATTGTTAAAGATGATGACCTGGGGGGAGGGGGTTGACAGAGATGGTGAGGGTGCAATCGCGTTTGGACTAGGGTTGGAGGGGCTACAATCAAGTGGGTGGGGGCTAAGAAGATGACTATTATGTTAATAAAATAGGAAGAAGACAAAAAAGAAGAAGAAAAAATGCCCATGAGTTAACGTACATTTTAACAGGAGTTAGTAAGAGGAATCAAAAGCATAACAAAATGGCAATTATCGGTACCCCCAATGTGTTTAATGAAGTTTAGGGATTACATTTCAAAGTAGTGATAACCACAAGTACCAAAAGTGTAATTTAATCTACAGATTATATCATTTTGAACCGAAAATAAACAATAATCACAAATAATTACCAATTTTGACACCATCTTTAAGATAAAATAGCGAATCTATTCAATTCACCTTATAATTATTTTCAAAAACAAATTCCTAGAATAACTATAGTTCATGCAGAAAAATGAGATTTACTGCATATGCAAGAAAATCTGCGTAAAGATTGAATTTTAATTAGATTTTACATTCTTGTAATTAGTTATCTAATTACTTTATATCCTTACGGGTTGTGAGGCTAGACCAGGTATGAAGACTGAATCTTAGACTTAGTCTATTGTTGTTTGATCTTTTACTCGGACAAGTGCTACAACCGTCAAGCTGGGTGAATTTCTCATTAACTTCTTTAGAACCAGTAGGTACCCCTACAAAGCAAAGGGAGGATAGATTTCGCCCAGTCTCCCTCTCCATAGTTAGGCGGGGGCAATAATTGTTCATCGAAGGAAAAAGTGAGAGTATCAAAATGCAGTATATGCAGTATAAGTTATCACAAAATCCTCAACAAATAGATTGAAAATGTTTTCTAATGAAGACTCAGTCTCTCATTTTACACCCTTATCACCTTATAATACATAACCTTTATATGAACTAAAATACATTAAAAAAAGTATGTTTATTTTTTTACAAATTAGATCATTGTAATTGTTCTATCAATATATTTAAAATGAGCCGAATATTGAATATCTTTGGATTTAATCATATTATTAAATATCATAAATACGTAAAAATTATTTTTAATACTTACACTTCGTATGTTTGTAGTTATTTATTTTAATTTGTAACTATAAATGTATAAAGTGTAAATATTTGACTCATTTTGAAGGTATTGATGAAACAATTATAATAATATAATTTGTAGGAAGAAAGACATATTTTTTGAAGTACTTTAGTTAATATACGGTTTTATATATGATAATCTGATAAATGTGTAAAATGAAAAAAAATAAGGATATCAAGAAAATTATATAACTAATTACATGAGTGTAAAATGTAATTAAAATCAATTTTTTTTCTGCATAACTTTAAACTTTTTTTATTTGCGTAAATTTTTAGGTGTAAAGTGTGGATATTTAAAGAATTTACTTTTAAAAGTGACTATAAATTGAATTGAATTAACCACAAGGGTGGTGTCTGATTGGTTTGAACTTGGCTTTAAATGTCAAAAGTAATAGGAGGTCTCAGGTTCAAATCTAATGAGAAATAAAAATCTTCTTGTGATTACGGAGGTTTAAATGCAGTGACTCCGGATTATCTGCAAAACAGATGGTCGTTCTGAAATTAGTCGGCTCGCATAGTGAGTTGGTTATCCAGGTTAATAAAAAAAAAGTTGAGTTAGATAAAAAAAATTGAGTTAAATAAAAAAAAACTCTTTTTATTCGTCTTTAATGATAGATTTTTAAGCGATACGTTAATGATTACTCTTTAAATTCACATTAATTGACTTGGTTGGAGCTATAGCTTTAGGCCATATGTGTTTGACTCTTCTTCGTAGGTCACTAAATCGTTGAATAACTTGTATATCGAAGGATCTTTTGGTTTTCTTTTAATGAGGTTTAATGATTTTATTTGATTATTGATGATTCACATATGAATATATTTACTTAGAGTTGGAACCACTTGATATTCTTTACGTATTTATCTTTTGAAAATATAACACTTTTTTGTAAGTTTATATCATTTTGTTTTTGTCAATTACTAATCATTAACACAATCTATATTGGAATATATATACACTGAATTACCAGTCTATCAAGTTGTTAGTAAACAATTAGGATCAATGTGAAAGTACACCGCTCACACACAAAGAACTCCATGTTCTCAAGAAAAAGTCTACATGTATAATGACCACATAAAAAGCAATTGTGGCACACATATGGCCTCTAAGACAGTGTTCTCATAAAGATTCACATCAGGTACATAAGATCCTCGTTTTATATCCACATGTGGATTATATATCTCCATATGAATTCTACAGATAGTAGTTGTTACCATATTACTTCAACATTAAGTTTGGAGCAATATTTGACTAGTGATATTTAAAGTATGTTATTAGAAAGTTATTGTTATATTTAAGAGAAATATAAACATAATTAAAAGGCAACAATATCTCTTATTAAATGTACAAACATACAATCATCCCATTATTGACTTTTGACCATTAAATAACAATAACTCCAATATAGGCTCATAAAGTTCAATTTATTTTGTTTTTATTGATAAGTATTTTAGATATTAAATGAAATAACTAAAATACAAATTTCGTCCATGTGATTTACAAACTCTGTGGTTTTAGTCCTTACAGTTTAGAAATTACAAAAGCTTCCTTGTCGTTTGCTTTATGCTATTATTGATTTCGTTCTTGAGGCCAATGGCCGTTAACTAGCTATGTTAAACTCCACTCACATGAAGACAATTTGGACATTACCCTTTTATTTTTATTTTTTATCATACAAGTCAATAAGTTGTTTTTATAAGCAATCTCAAACATCACCTTTAGTTTTTTTTCTTCTTAAAATGTTTTAATACTTGTACATATGCAATATAAAATTGTATGATAAACAATTAATAAAAAATATGTAAAAAGATGAAATTATCCTCACATGCTCGACACATGAGGTCACTTAACAGGGCTAAGTTAACAACCATTAGGACAAATGACCAAATCCAAAAAAATCAAAACGATAAGAAAGATTTTATAATTTTTAAACTATAGGAACGAAAATCACAAGATTTTCAAACAACAGGGACAAAATTTGTAATTTACTCTAAGTTGTATTTTAAACATAATAACCTCCAAAACAAACTAAGAAAGGTTGAAAATTTTATATTAATTGTGAAAAAGGGCCAGTTGAGATCGAGTAAAGAAGATTAAAGAAGGGCCGTTGGAGATCGAGAGTTTGAGTTCGAGCTCTTAGATATTCAGGTGACAATCAAGTAAATCATTATGTTTAAGCTTTGAATAAATGTTGTTAAGTTGATATTTAGAGAGTAACACAGACCAATTGGTCGAAGTTTTGTGGTTGCATCGACAGCTTAACGACTACCATTAAACAATAATAAGTGGGTTAAAACTCACATTTACGATGTGTATAAGAAACAACTTTTGGCCATGGTTGGTCGGGTTTTTGTGGACCTGTATGTAAGAGCACTACAAGTGAGTCATGTAAGGTAGTTCACAACCATGTCCAAGTTCGAAGCCGAGACCAAGTTACACCCAAAAAATCTCGAGCCTAATGAGCCAGGTTCAAACCCAAACTCTAAAACATGTCTGCTCCAAAAAACCTGTTCTAAAAGACCTGATCGATTCTTTAAAAAAGGAGACTTATTTTTGTTACATGGGTTTAAAATTTCAAGATGTTACATTAAAAATATTAATATAAAATGTTATATTTGACAATTGATTAAAGTATTTTACTTTTATTTAAAAAAAAAAAAAAAAACTAAGGTCAAATTTAGATTGATATTATAATTGATCACAATATAGGTTTGTTTTTGGAAATTTGGACCACTTTGTTAGGGCTTGGTGCCACTTGTCTTCATGTCAAGTGCACGTCTTGGACAACTCATAAACACTATCATACACCATATCAAATTATCTTGATAAACTCCTCTGACTATCTCTCCCCCCCTTCACTTTCTCTGCGTTTCGCTCTCTACCCTTTTGATAACCCCTCTTCTTCCTCTCTACCTTCAAATTGGTCCTTTGCTTTGCTACCTTCAAGCTCTAATGGCGTTTCTCTGCTGATTCAGCCAGACTAAAAAGAAAAGATTCAGTTTTTTTCAACCGGCCCCGACCCGATCATCGTCAATTTAACAACAGCTGTGTGTGATACTCTCTTTCTATCTCTGCGTCTCCCCTTCATTCATCAAACAAGAGTTTGTTTGTCAATCTCAATTACCCTTTTGGTTTGACTTGATCCTTAGATCTAACTCTTTCACTTTTAGATCTTCCTCAACTTTCGACTTTGAAGGTAACAACAAGTCTCGGCTATTCTCTTATAATTTATTGAATCGAGTTTTGTTAACTTATTCCAAACTCTTAAGAATCTCGAAGAGGTTAGATTTTTGTGTTTGTAATTATTCGGACCTTCTGGATTGGTCAATTAGATTTGACTAAAGAAATATGGGTTTGTTGAAAAAATTAAAGGTGGGGATTTTAATATTGACCATTCTATTTGCCAAAATTATGTGTTCTTCTTTTCTGTTTTTTGTAAATTTCAACTTCTAAGGCTGTTATGATCATGGATTTTGCGTTGTATGATGAAGGGATAGGTGTGCTTTGTTTCTAATCAACAATTGTATATAAAGTTATGTGTTTCTATTTTTGAGTTATTTTACTGAGATGATTTTGGCATGTTGATTGTTGAGCAACCACTGTATGGTTTTTGAGTGACTTTTCAGCTTATAAGATTTGCATACTTGAAACAGCTTTTGATTGTCATTGCTACAAAATCATCTGAATTATGTTTGTATTGATCTTATTGTAGGATTTTAGAGATCAAGGTTTGAGTTGAGGGGCATAAGTTATTATTGAATCTTAATCAAATGCGGATAACACGAAGAGGGGTTTTGATGAGATGAGGTATGTTATCTGGGTTCATGAACTTTTTGTGGGCCTGTTTCCGGCCGCGGTCGGACCGACATGTTCACAATGGTTCTGATTCGGGTGGTCGTCAAGATGGACTCTTATGGTACAAGGATACAGGACAGCATTCTAATGGTGACTTCTCTATGGCTGTAGTTCAAGCCAATAATTTATTAGAGGATCAGAGTCAGCTTGAATCAGGGTGTTTGAGCTTGCAAGAATCGGGACCTTATGGTACCTTTGTAGGAGTGTATGATGGGCATGGAGGTCCTGAGACGGCAAGGTTTATTAATAGTAACCTCTTTCAACATCTAAAGAGTAAGTCACCTGAATCCTGATAAATCGTTGAAATACAAAATATGTGAACTAAAACGATATGGAATGCTTTTATCATTTTGGTATGCATATTACCACATGTCACTGGTTAATATTGTATTGTCATTGAAGGTCTAAAAAGATTTGTGTTTTGGTAGGTTGTATTGCAAAATTTGAGCTATTTTGTACTAGCTTTCTTTTGTTCAAAGAATATTGCAAGCATTTTATTAGGCATATAGTTTTACAAATTTGTCTTCATTGATAGGTAAATGTCTAAAATGCCACAAAATCAATTTCACAAATAATTTTTTTATCAAGACAATGTGCATATAGGTACTTAAAGCTTGGAAACTTGCCAAAAAAGAAGCTGTTGAAATTTTCATGGGGCTAGGGAGCACGAAATTTGGTGAAAAACACGGTTGGAATGACAGTGATTAATTAGATAAAATTGATGATTATGAGTAAAAGTTTATTGAGAAAGAAGTCTTGAGTTGTAGACTTGTAGTTGAGTTTCCATTAAACAAAAGGTTAGTTTTTCTATAAGTAGAAAGAGTTGTGTTGCGTTGTACCTAAAACGTTTCAGATGTTGTTTGTTTCTACTATTTTCTTCCATTCTTCATTCTTTGTTTTGTAGACACCATCTTCGTTGCCCCTCACGCCATGTATGGGACCCACCCGCAAAATGAAAATATTAATAAACGGAATGGTGTTTGAAGCTCAAATCTAGACCTTTTTTCCTGCAATTATTAGCTCTAAGCAAAAGCTTTTCCTTCTCAGGAGCTCAATTTCATTATCTTATTTGTTTTGTTAACTTCTCTAAAAATTGACAAAGCAAACAAACACACCGTCCATTGGAGAAAATTGTACTATCTTTTAGGGCAGATAAGTTAATTTTCAGCTTCAAACTTGATATGGGCTCTAATTTTTTTTCCAGCAGATTGATGAAGTACAGAAACTTGCAAGTATGTTGAATATAAAAGTGTTGTGTTCCTTTGTAACAAAGTACATACAGTTTTGCATTGAGCATAACTGGGTTTGACCTCAAAATTGAAAATGTATGTTCTGTATACAAGTTGTGGTCTTTTATGGGATACTGAACTCGGCAAAGTTCTTGATTTCTCAGGGTTTACGTCTGAGAATCACTCAATGTCAGTGGAGGTAATCAAGAAGGCTTTCCAAGCAACGGAAGAGGGTTTCGTCTCTCTTGTATCCAAACAATGGCCAATGAAACCACAAATAGCAGCCGTTGGATCATGCTGCCTTGTTGGTGTCGTATGCGGTGGAACCCTTTACATCGCGAATCTTGGAGATTCTCGAGCTGTTCTGGGAAGGCTAGTGAAGGCAACTGGGGAAGTTCTTGCAATTCAGCTCTCAGCTGAACACAATGCGTGTATAGAGTCTGTGAGACAGGAGTTGCATTCTACGCATCCAGATGACTCACAAATCGTAGTTTTAAAACATAATGTTTGGCGGGTAAAAGGCCTCATACAGGTAACTTTCTCTTACCCATGATTACCTTAAATCAAATATGGTCTACAGTCTATGATGACTTTTTAGTGTTTGTAGTACAAGTACTTATTGTCTCGAATATTCTACAGTCCAAACACTTAGAGTTGTATTGATCCATCTTGGTATGATTTTATCTCTATCCCTGGTAGGTTAGCGTGATATTTCCTTTGTTCCAAAAGAAAGCCGTGGTTTTACTTTCATAGTCAAAGAAGTCCATTCTTCACATAATTTGGTATCAATTCTAAATGATGAAGAAGACAATGGTTTAAGTTAGATTACATTGGAATTACATGATCAATATTAGATTACAAAGCATTAAAATGGTTTTTGATTTTTAGCCTAAAAACAAACGATGTCAGTTTTGGATTTGAAAATTTACTTGTTTGATTGCAAAAATCAAAGTGTACCTTCTTTTTTGAATGGAGTAGTACCCTTTAAGGCAATTTAAGTTTGCTAGTTCATGATCACATTAGTGTTTCACTAGTAAGGTGTTTTAGGCTATGTTGCAAGGATATAAGTTTGGAGTCGATAGATACACTGTGCTATAGAAGAAGTTGTAGGCCCAAGGGGGCATTGGTAGTTTGCTATTAAGGTGTTTCACGATATGTTGCAAGGATACATGTTTGAAGGCACTTGTGCATGATATAAGGCAAGATATCAAAATGAGGATGTTTAGGTGGTTGAACTATGTTGGACAGGATACTGAATGAAGTTTTTCAATCAGGGTTGGAAGTAGCAACTCCTAGCTGAGGGTGAGGAACAAGAAGGAGCCAACGGTTGAGGGTCAAGCAAAGGCCCTCCCTGAGGGCTAAGAGGGTTAGTCACTCTCTTATTTAGAGGGGRCGGGATAGGGCTTGCTTGTCTTTCTCTCACACCTCTCAGTCAGAATCCGGGCTAGAAGTTGTCCACACGCGCAATTCCTCTCCCTACAGGATAGCTTGTTTGTATTCCGCTCTTCTCCCTGAAGGGAAAGATATCTGAAAGTAGCATTCCCGATATGAATGAGATAGGCAACTTGAAGGGCTAGAGGCTAAGAAGGCAACTAGCTGAGGGCGAAGGGCACAATGAACATGAACCGAATCAACTGAGAGTATCACGGGTAAATTGAGAGGGAAGACTACAATGCTTTTGACAAGTTCGTAGGAGACAGATGCCAACACCTGTAAGGAGGGTGGATAGCGTAATGGTTGAGGGGCCTAGGACGACATAGGATGAACATGGCGGCTTTAGGCATTCCCAAAGGCATGATCCTGGATAGAATTTGTGGAGACGCGTTTAGGGAGGGTTAGAGAGCTGACAGTTGGATTTCGAAGTCCATAATGGGGTAGCCGGGAGTAGCTTCTGTGTGTGTTCTTTTTCCAGGAAGGGGTCTTTTGGCTCACTTGTTAGGTTGTTTGGTTTTCTGTATTTCCCATTTTACTTTTAGTGCCTACTTGTTTTCGTCTTATTTCCTGTTGTTTACTACTCTATGGGTACTCGCTCTACTTGTTTGAATCTTATTTCATCATGTTTAATGTGCGTGCTTCCTTTCCCATGTTTGCCTCAAGTTTGTCATTAATCTTCAAAACTTTTTTCCTTGCATATGTTAGTCTTCCTCTTCGCATAACCTCTTTACTTCTTGGCTAGAGGAATTGTTGCGTATTTCTTACCCCTTCCTACTCCCTGGACCCCACTTCGCGGGGGATTTACCGGGTTCATTTGGTTTAGTTTAGTGCATGAGGCAAAAGATCATGTGAGAAGAAGAGTCAAGGTGATAAGCATGAGAAGGGATCTGGACCCTTGATCACCTTTAATCTCAAACCCACCCATGATTCGCGCTTGATTTGGGGATTGATCCGGTGCATCTTGGTGCATCTCATCCTAATGTGCATCCAAAGGTGAAGATCCCTTAGTACGCTTCTCACCTTAACTCTCCTTCTCACTGGAACCCAACCCTAGTGCATGATACATGGCACATGGATTTATTGATTATAGAAGGATAAAAACACGGATGTGCATTTTAATATCCATACAATATGCACAAGTTTAAAAACAAAAACAACGGAAGAAATAAATTATACTTATAGATCACACATTAAGTTTGTCAATGAGCATGTACAGCGTAAGTCTTACAGTGCCGTTTCTTTTACTTTATGCACTCATAATAGTCTAAGATATCGAGGAAAATTGTTTTTGCTTTGCCTTCCTCCTTTATTTGCACACTCTCTCTCTCTCTCTCGCTCTCGCAAACACACAAAAGCATAAGATGTAGGTTTTACTTCAGACTCATGGCCTTAATTTCTGAATTTATAGTTAGTGAATAGTCATGTCTTGCTGTAAAAAGACGAATGTTACCATTTTTGCATCCCCAATATTTGTGGTAAACAATTTTGGGAGCAGGTAAAACAACACCCATGCACACCCCTCACTGCACTTCTAGTCCACCCTTTTTCCTTGTCTGAAATTCATGTTCAAATTTTGAAGCCATAGATTTTTGTTACTTTTATTTTTTTCTAGATGATTGAAATTTGCATGCAATGTGTGAACTTACATAACCTTGAAATGAAGATCAATGAGTTTGTATTTTTAAAACTTTAGATCTCTGTTTGCAATATATCCTCTTGGATAGTCGATGCAAGACAGTTTTAGAGGGAAAAAAAGGAATAGGGAAGAGAATGGATGAACTACTTTTCCAGGGATCAACACTAAAGAAACACTTTTCTCTCGAGCATCACACACATTTAGCGAAAGCCCAAAGGAAAGTGATGTATAATGTATTTTTGATTGTTTAAAAGCTCGATATCATTCATTTGGGCTTTTAAGTCTGTTGTAATAGTTACCATCTCTGGATTATTGAACAATTAACTCCCCAGTCTTAACTCTTGATTTGTTATTCATATGACAATTGGCGTGAGAGGATGTAATTGGTATGATATACGTGTGAAAAGATCATGATACTTGAGTGACCAATTTATCTACTTGGGTTGGGTTCTGGTGAGAAGGGTAAGAAGGGATGTCCACCCTTAGATCAATCCTAATTGAAGATCAATTGAAAATTCCCTTCTAAAGCTAATTCATGGGTTGTTTTGGGATTTAATGAGAACCACTAGATCACCACTACTTAAAGTGATCAAGGTTCCAAATCCCTTCTTACACTTCTCACCTTAACTCCTTATCCTCGCACGATCCTTCGTCTTACTTACTTTGCCTATAAAGATAATACTAACAATTATCCACATAATTCTACGTATTACATACACTCAACATAATTTCTTTTGGTCCTAATCTTACGTTCCTCATCAGGAATCCCATTTTGCTCAAGAATAAAAATGAGCAATTCCTGTTGAGGCTATCTGCCACCGATCAGCTATCGTCTCCTTTGTCTTAATGGAGAACTCTTGAAACTCCACATTTGTTGTTTCCATTCATAACCCCCCCTTTCCTCTTCTTTTTCTGTTGTCTCCCATATGTGTGTGTTACCTATCAACATTCGGTGATGATTACTATGGGCAAATAAGCAACTTTAACTCCTATAAGCTTTTGCTATAATTTTTCAAGCCTTAAAAACTTGTGTTTTCTCTGCAGATTTCGAGATCCATTGGTGATGTATACTTGAAAAAGGCGGAATTCAACAGGGCTCCTTTATATGCCAAGTTCCGCCTTCGTGAACCTTTTAAAAGACCGATATTGAGCTCGGACCCATCAGTTTCGGTGCACCAGTTGCAGCCACATGATCAGTTTATCATATTTGCTTCAGATGGCCTATGGGAGCACCTCAGTAATCAAGAAGCTGTTGATATCGTTCAAAGTCACCAACGCAGCGTAAGATGCTTAACTTGATAAACTTCTGCTATGCTAGTTGACTTTGGAGGTTAAACCTAGTAATCTTGAAATTCCAAGATTAATATGTTTGCAGTATTTGTTGTAAGGTTAATGTGGGTGATTCATTTCTTTTAAATTTTAAGCATTTCACATGAATCAAATTGTATCTTGTTTAGTTGTTGATTTGAATGGACTTCTGTTGCAGGGAAGTGCTAGGAGATTAATAAAAGTGGCATTGCAGGAAGCAGCAAAGAAGAGGGAAATGAGATACTCTGACTTGAAAAAGATCGATCGTGGGGTGCGTCGTCATTTCCACGATGATATCACGGTGGTGGTGCTGTTTCTGGACTCGAACCTGATGAGTAGGGCTAGTTCCTCCTCGGTTAGAACCCCTAACTTATCCGTCAAAGGAGCAGGAGTAAACCTGCCTTCAAACATACTTGCTCCTTGCTCAACCCCAACGGAAACTGGGACCGCCTGATCATCTCTCTATCTCTAGTCTACTATACATACATACATACCTACATATATAGAAACTGTTACCTCTCTAATTTCAGCTTTTTCTTGTACTATTTCCCTCATCAGTGTGAATACCTCCCCAGAAAAAGAGAAAAAAAAAACAAAGAAAGGCAAGGTAGGCAACCCGGTGCACCGTGGTTCCTTGGAAAATAGGTAGTTTGATATTGTGGATGGTGAAAGCAGCAGGCAACCCCGGTGCACCATGGTTGTTAAATGGTGACCGAGGAGCACAAGTCGAAATTCTTTGTAACCTCGTTTAAGTCGGAGTAGTAATACTAAAACTTTACAGATGGAAGCAAGGGTTATAGTTTATACTATTTTCAACTTAAAATGTGTCCATCCAGAATTGACTTGTAACCTTGAATTTGTTTCGAGTTATACAAGTTCTTGATGATGGTTTCCTTTTTGGGATTTAGGGGCAGGTTTCTTGATAGATGTTTGTGTTTGCAGACATGGTTTTGGTTAAAGCACTATTTAGGTTAATCCAGTGGCTGGACTCGGCTCGCGTAACTGAGTCAAGTTCAACCACCTTTACTATGTATATGCTATGTTTACTGCACCTAGTTTGTGTATTGACCTCTGGTTTACGTAGTGTTTTGTCAGTAGTGAGCAAACTGACTCGATAGAATTTGCATGTGTAAGTTGTGTTGGTGATTTTAGTGTCATCGACCATTTGGTGTAATTGATATTTATATAAAGGTAAAGCATTTGGGAGTGCACACCTACATAAGTTGCTTTAAATCCGGGACAGACCAATGGTGGGCTTGCGAGGGCAAAGCCAATGTCCTTTGTGTGTTCGAGTACAACGTTAGTGTGTTGGATTATGGAACATGATCAAAGAGTACTCAAAACCAATGTTGATTTGAAAGGTTGACTTAGAAAATTTGCAATCGCTTTAACTACCTGATAACTGTCAAACAATTGCTGGTCAACACATTGTGATAAACATAAAAACATAGCAAAAACCTTTGTAATTTGTCCCCATTGTGCCTAAGGATGAGTGTTATTTTGGATTTTTCCAAAGTGGATTTTGTACGGCAGACTCGAAACACTATTTTTAGATAATGTTTTTCTCGCACTCTAGAATAGTATCAGAGTCTGATTCATTATTATCACATGAAATCTAGACTTCCAACAAATGGTCAACAAGGTTTAGGAGCTGTTTACTCAATTGATTATCTGATAAACATTTATCAGTAATTTTCGACACTCTTACTTTATAGGGTAAGATTGTAACTTATTAAAACATAATCGTAGGATTGTGAAACCCATGGGGTTGGTTGGTGTTTTACGGGATTTCAGAGGATTTGTATGTAATAATGGTTCAAAGTATGTTAAAAACATTTGATTTGTAATAGTCAATTAATAACAAGGTAATTTGATTATTATTATAATTATTTATTCATTTTTTTATAAATAACGGTCATTCCAAATCCTACAAACCAAACACACCAAAGATTCTAAATCCTTCTACGAAATCCAAATCCCTCAAAACCATTCCATCAAATCAAACGTCCCCTAAAAGCATTTAGTATTTCTAGGAAGTTAGTCAGGACCATGATTCGCTAAGCACAAAAAAGAAAGTTCTCTTGATTTATGTTTGTAAAATGGTTAGTTCTGGTATACGTAGGAAATTACTTTATAGGATCGATTACTTGAAATCTAATGCCAACTGCTACCATTCATTATAACATGTGTAGGATCTTGCCCAACCCACCTCTTCCTAGCCTCGTCAATGATGGTTAACTTGATGCCCTTACCCTTGAGTCGTCACACGGTTGGGGAATGTATTCACGGTCCGAAAGGGTATAAAGTCATGGGTGTCTCTTCTCCAATCAATAAAAAACATCTGTTACAAAATACAAAGCAACACACAAGAAATTACAGGCACAAGACAAATGTTAGTCAAAAAGCCATCATTTACTGTTCATCCAACACCAACAATAACATGAATAAACAAATACCATACGAAGTTTATGCCTAAAATAAATGAGTGTTGATTCCTCAAGTCTCATGCAAAGGGAATTATGTATAATCTTACAAGCAATCAACCTTTGACATTAAACAACACAAAATAACTTTCCAGTCAATTTCAATTTTTCCTAAACTGAAATATGCATTTCAGTTAAGTGCCAAACACCACAACCATAATTCTCCAATCAACTATTTCCCTTTATAAACTGAAGTATGTACCATCTTACCTTGATCCCATATCAAACCAAGATATATGCAAATATAAGAAACCAAGTTACTACAATTTTCATGAAAAAGATACCATTAAGAAAAAGTAGGCAAGTATGTCTTGACTTTGTTGTCGACAAGCACGTGTCTTTGCATCAAGATAGAAATCACCTCATGGCTTGTCAAAGCATACTTCAACCTGTTACGAAGAATGAGAATCAATTCTAAAGTGGGTTTCTATTCATAATCCATTCTAAAGTGCTCACTCGAGAGCTTCATTCCATGATTCATATGCTGCTAAGCACTACTCTATATATATATCAAATATCCATACGAAATAGACTATTGTACTCTGCTAATCAAATATTTTCTTAACTGTTTAAAGATGCTTGCATCACTTTTAGATTTGTAAACTTCAATGAGGATATTGTGAACAAGGCTCATCACTATACCCTCATGTTCTGTCTAAATTATTATATATTTTGAATAGCATGTAACGTTTGAACCAAAATCCCAATTTCAAGTCGTATACAACATTATAACTGTATCAATAAACGTCATTTGTTTAAAAAGCAACAAGTGTTAGGACAAGCTTGGGGGAGGGTGAAGGTTGTTTTACGTTTAAAAATTGTTTTTGAAATATTTTTAGGAAAATATGTAACAACACACAAGATGGATTCTTTTGCTAAGGATTAACATAACCAAGTAAACAAACAAAAATAAAGAGAGATACAGACAAATTTAGAGAGGGTTATCCAAAACCGGGCTAATCCTCTTTGTTGAGTGAATTCAGCTAGACGGTTCACTATATTCTTCTTTTAAGGTAGAAACACACCGTATGAACACTGATTACACAAGATTTTGAATATTTGAAACTGAATCCAAGTTCTAGCTATTATTCACACATCTATGTGGATGCTAGTTGGATCTATCTGATACACTTAGTAGAGTGTGGAGAATATTTGTGTTTTATGCTTGTTGATCTTGAAAGCAAGAAAAAGATCAAGTATGAGAGAGTTGTGAGTTGAGAGTCAAATGTTAGAAAGACTTGAGAGTGTTGAGAAAGTTAAGAGGTGGTCCTTGGGAGTTGAGAGTAAGGTGCCGTTTACCAAACGCTTATCCGGGTAAGCGCTTATCAAGTCATATTACTTTACCGGATGAATATGTCAAGGACTAAGAATCTTACTCGGTAGAGTTTTCGGACACCGCTTTTCGCGATTTAGATGAGCAAGAGGCCATGGCGACCCCAGCTTCGACAGGTTCGGGGTCGGGGAGAGGCCCCAACCTAGAGATGCTGACACCGAGTCATCCGAGCCACCGAAGACATCTGTCTTTGTTAGGCCATGGGTAAATAGATGTGGTATAAGACTTTGTATTACATAATAAATTAATATGACTGTCTTTGTGTTGAAAATATTTGTTTAATTGTACAGGTTTAAAGATGCCCATGTTATCCGAGAGATGACGACTATCTTCAGGTCTTCCTTTGTTGGTCCGTGGCATAGATGGAAGGAAGTACCTCAGAAAGCACGTGACTTGATGTTCCAGCGCTTTAGGGTTGGTGTACCATTTTAATGACATTATACATACAAGATTATTGTTTTTACATTTATACAAACATTGTGTGTGTAGGCTAAGTTCCAATGGGATCCTGAGCTGGATGACACGGTACATTCATTATGGACCAAAGCCATGCACAACAGGTACTCTGATTAGATTAGCTCTGCACATGATTGGGCCGTGGCGCAGGCCTATCCTGGTGATCAACAATGGGATGGTGAGGACTTCTCACGGATTAGATTACACCATCCCGTATGGATACCAGACAGGTTTTGGCTACAGATGATTGACACRGTATGCATCTCTATTGTGAGCTTTTCGAACTGCCATGTGTACCGCCTTTCGCCTTATATATGTGCTCTGTTTTTAACAGGTTTGGGATACCGAGGCTTGGAAAAGGAAATCCAGGATCAATCGGGCCAATCGAAACACCGAGTTTGAGGGGGTGTCGTCCAGACACACTGGGGGATCGATTAGTACGGCACA